AACCACAGAAAACTCAGTGAAATGCAAAAGATTGAAGATTGAACGTGTCGCGCATTGAGGATCAGCCGAGTGGAAATATGGAGCACATCAATATCAATAACAATAACAATATCAATTTTCATATTTTTTTTTCATTAGATCTGTTATGGCTCGCCTTACGTCTGGGAAGTTGTTGACCCAATACAGATATAACGGATAAGATCAAGGCTCAGTGACAATTGCTAAAAGCAAAATTATTGAAATAGGAACTTGAGTACTCTATTTTTTTTCTAGAGGGAGACGGAGTTAGAATGAGATAGATAGAGAGAGAGAGAAAGAAAGAGAGATAAAGATAAAGAGATGAAGAAGGATAAGGACGACAGTCAAATGGGAAAAGGGCAGCAGATTTATGGGTAAGGAATTAGAGATAGAGAAAGACAGAGAGAAGTTCTGCGAATAGGAGAGATGGAGAAAGAAGAAATTAGAATTATCTTGGCATAGAGAGCAGACTAAAATAAGAGAGCGAAAGAGAGATATTGCAGGACTTCTTTCAATTCTTTCTCTCTTTCACATCAAACAAAACCTGCCTATCTATATACCCTTTTTTAGTCACATACAACATTTGCAGGGTGTATATGAAGCAACAAATAATTTGGGGCTTGCCTGGTCTCCCATGGGGACAGACTGTTAACTGATGCCATTTGATGTATCGGAGCGTACCTTATCGCTAGTTATTCTGACCGCAGATCATTTGTCAATGTGTCATAGCATCGCATTATATTATTATTGTTGGGTTTTTTCGTATATTCCTCTGCTGTATTGTTTATAGTTCGTTTGCTGTGGCATCTTCTGAAATTCTTTTTGCTGTCGAAATCCGAGCAATGTTATTGTCTCACACAAAATTGAGTAAATATTGCTCCGATTCCGAAGCCGTGTGGCTTGGTTTGGTTTGGTATGCGGGCTGCGATCGGTTAGCTGAGATTAGCATTCGCCTCTGATATGGCCAATGCGAGACAATGTGTTTGTATAAGCCATAAAGCCGATGCGGTTTCGTATGCAGCAGACAGCTAAGAAAACAAAACGTAAGCAGGTTTTCAAGAATAAGCAAAGTCAAGACAGTGGCCAGAGCACACGATTCAAATATCAAATAATATGGATTTATAAACAGAGCAAATGGAGTCAGGCAAACTCAAATCTAAAGTTGCAAACTAGCTGATAATTTGTTATATGAATGTGTGGAATATATATGACATACATATATATATATATATATAATAATTTTACAGGAAATGAAAAAAAATTCCATACTATTTAATAGAAAATTGTTGATATAAACTTTCATGAATCATTTTGTCGTTAGATTCATTTAAGCATAATTATAATTGAGCAATAGTTTTCAATAATTGTTTATACAATTGTAATGAATATTAAAGGGAGTATATTGGCTTCTAGTATGTACTCAAGTGTAGTCATGTTTCATGAACCTATAAATCAGAGCAAACTCATATATCTTTATAGCTAGACTCAATAGGAAAGAAGCAGTCATAAAATTACTGGAATAAAAGCTCCCTTCAGAGTATCACCTAATGGTGTACTACTAATACCAGTCTGACTTCATTCAGCACGAGTATTACGCAGTCAGTTATGCTCTTCATACGTATTCCCGCAGCACTTGACACCTGAAGTGCTTGGCTCTTGTGGACAAGCAGCAAATCACAATTAACTAATAGCTGTCAAAATTCCAGTTTGCAGTTAACCAAAACTGTCATAATGCTGTCTACCCATTGATCAGGTTGAGAAATATTACAAGCTTCAATTGATTTTCGCCGGCCCACATTCAATTTGACCGAATCTCTCACAAATTGTCTTTGACAATTTGGCGTTGGCGAAAGAAATTTCGCTTGCTTTGATTTTTATGCTCAAAACATGTATTTGGACATGAGTTTTTAACGCCTGTTGAACGGCGAATTTTTTTGCCAAGTCACAATTGGGAAACTGGAAACTGGGTTAATTGGATTGGCCCCTAACAGTTAAAGGGCCTACACAAAGATAAATAGAATTCTTTTTTTTTTTCGTGTAGGCATCGAAAAGAGTTGGCAAAAAAGAAAAGTGCAGCACAATCGAAGTTAGAGCAAGAAAAATGAAGGGGACAAAATTGCTTTTAGTAAAAAAAAAAAAACATTATTAAAAAAATTATTACAAAACTTATAAACACAAAAATTATAAACTTAAATTTTGTAAAAAAAAAATGTTCTATAAAAATTTTAGTTTGGCATTATTTTAGATACCAATATTCTATTTATACAATATTTATAATTTATATAATTATATTTATTAATTTTACACTAAGAGAATTTATAGTAAGATTTTTATATATTTTTAAATATAAATAATATATATAATATAATATATATATTTACAAATATAAATATATATTTAATATATATAAAAAATATAAAATAAAATATTAATATATATTTAATATATAAATATTTAATATATAATAACTTTTCCGTTAATCAAATTTCAACAGCTTCCATTCTATTGTTAGCTATTGATAGCTCTTCGAAGACGATATTTTCACCCAATTATGTGTGCATTGTGTATAGAATGCAGACTAACTACCGTTAAATTGTTCTTGGCATTCTTCAGCAGTGGAATTTTTGTTTGTGAGTTTGATTAAATGCATTGATCATTAAGAATCTTACGAAAAAACAAAGTAAAAACCAAAAACAAAAAGAGAAAAAAACTAGTTTAGACAAAGGCAGCGCTGCGCTGGCCAGCGGCTCGCTGCTTCCTGGCATAGAACACCGTACGGTGTAACCGTTGCGGCTCCAGCATCATAGCCGAATGCTGAATGCTGAATGCTGAAGGTAAGCCACATTTTCGACACCGAAACCTTACCAAAAACGAAACAAAGACACCTGCTGCTGCTGCTGGCCAAGTCGAGTCGGCTCACTGGCCGTTAGCACAAGACAATGAGCCAACTCGAGCCACTTGGTCTACAGAGCTCTTGGCCAACACAGCGTTAGTTGTGGTATGCGCTTTATAATTGTGCAGCCTGCGAAAACTGACCCACTTTGTGGTTGTTGCAGTTGCAGTTGCAGCATGCAGCATGCAGCAGCCTGGCCACAATCCACCTCTGTTAACAATGCACATTAAGCCACACACTAATCGAGCCTCTTGTTGTGCTTACAGTAGCTTAGCACAACATTTTATTCGGGCCAGCCCAATGCTGAGGGCGTTCAAAAAGCCATTTAGCTGCCCGCATTGTACTGGGAGATAAAAGCTACGAATGCGTCCAATCGACTGCATAATGCTCGTTCGGGTGGGGAGAAGTGAAAGAGGAATAACTGAATTTCTATGGAAATTTTGTATATTATTTCTTGGTATAGCATAAAGCTGTTATATAGATTTGTATGGCTAAGAAGTGCTGCATGGGAAAGCAATTAGCCAGGTTTTGCAGCACAAACGGAAGAGTTCAAAGACCTGGCGTATTAGTGATTTCTCCGTAACCTAACCTACCTATGTTCGATAAATAATTTCACATTGTATGAATTTTCGATTTCCGCGGGTTACGTATACTTAAAATGTTCAATATTTTTCTAGATTTCGTTCCCCTTAAGCCGTTTACATGGGCTCAACGCCAAATTGGCAATATTTTTGTAACACACCTCGCATAGATAAGATGAATTTATAATACATAAAGAACATAAAACCAATATACACGCTTTACATAAGCAGTTACACATAGAAAGGGATAGAGTAAGAGAGAGAGAGACAGAGATAATTCGGTTTAAGATTCATTAAAAAGCCGCACCATTATATACCAGATAATACCTGATAATTTATGTAAAAAATAACCAAATGCGACACGTTTAAAAGTTGCTGAATACAATTTTTGGGAAAGTTCTATTGTGATCAATGCCAAGAGAAGTAGGAAGAGAGAGAGAAAGCGAATAGAACTGTCGCTAACAGTTGCTTTGAAGAAAGTCAACGAACAACAAATATCAAAATCTGACAATTAATTTGAATTTTGAATCATTTTCAAGCTCAAGAATACATTTTCTCTCTTTCGGTTGGGCTAACAAAGCAAAACAAAAACAAGTAAATCAAATCAAATTAAGTAAAGTATATCTCAGCTCAGATGGACGCGATACGGGACACGTTGGGTCGTTTATTCACCAGGAGCTATGCAGCTGATTCGACCGGTGGCCGTCACACGGCGGAGGTCATCGAGGAGGAGCTGAAACGCAAGGATGTGCTAGATCTGATGCAGCAGCAGCATCAGCAGGACCAGAACCAGGATCCGGAACAGAAGGGGAAGCAGCCATCGCAGGACAGCAAGCCACGCACCATACCCAAGGGCGAGGCAAGCACGCGAAACGTCAGAACGAATGTCTATGAGGTAACCACTGCCAATCTGCCAGCGCAACGTGACTTGGCCAGATCTCTGGTGGCCGAGCCAGCACCAATCAATTATGAGATGGAATTCGTGGACTTCATCAATCGGAATACACCGCCCGGGTTTGGCAATAAGCTGCAGCAGATGCTGCCCTATCTGGGCGTCAGCTTCATTGCCTGGCCCACCTACTGGATGTGGCGCGGCTTTCACTGGCAGTCGAGGCGTGGCAGCGAGAGGATTGGCATGTACATACAAAGGGTATGGGGATGGAGATATATAGATATACCCTATACATAACCGTAAATCCAACTTCTATTCACATTGCAGACCTTCCAGCATGCCAAACTCATGCAGGTGGCCATATTGAGCCTCGGCTTGCTTATGGCCACCACGACGCAGGGTGGTACGGAGCCACTCGACGTGCACGAGGTGTCCTACAACGGACGCGAGAAATGAATGAAGAAAGCATCGAAACAGCAGGCTCTGACGAAATGGAGCATGTCATTTAGACAGAGAGGGGGAGATGGAGTGGGAGAGAGGCCGATAGGAAAATAGAGAAAGAGAGAGAGAGAGTGAAAGACAGAGATCAAGTAAATCTTTGTTGCTTTATATTTCAAAAACGAAACAATTTCAAGTCAACCTTTTCAAATTTTTTGTTGTAATAATGGGCATCACGAACTTCATTGAGCAAATGAAGAATTGGACAGTGTCGCGTGTTTATGGAGTCCCGCCAAAGTCTGACGAAAATGCCCAGAAAAATAAACGATTTCCCAATCTGGGTGAGAATATACAGCGTGTGGTCCAAACGCCACAGTTCGAGCAGGTGCTAAATGCCGCGTCACCCTTTCTGTTGGCCAGCATGGGCGCCTGGCCGGGATATTGGATATATAGAGGATTCGATTATCACTCGCATAGGGCGCACATACCGCTGCCTATTTACATTAGACAGGTAATTGATAATGATAGGCATAATGAATAATGACAATGATTATGATGATGACAATGCAAAGGATGACAATATCAATGAGGTTAACACTGATAGCAATGATAATACTAATAACAATGATGTTAGCAATGGTATCAGTGTTATTGATAACAGATATATACTTCCAATAATAACTATAATGCTAATAATCATACAAATATCTATAGCAATACTAATTAGATCAATCAATTCCTCTTTCACACCCTCCGCAGACATTTTACCAGGCTAAACTGCTGCAGCTGATCATCATTATGACTGGCATACTGACTATTGTAAAGAATCAAAAGAACTTGCACATCTTTCCCGATAACGACAACCGAAACGATCCCTAATTCATTAAATCGAAAGTAACCGAAGCACCTTCATTATCAATTCCCAATTCACTAAATTTATAATAATTATTCAAGCAAATTAGTAATGGCCCATTGCAAAAGCTCTAAATCAACAATAAATAAAATACCCAGATACTAATGGACTTTTAGTTGAGATTCGTTTAGAGTAAAAAACCAAAATTATTAGGGAGTATTTCAGTCTTTCTGCTGCTGCTGTTGTTGTTGCTTCTCCTTGTTGGCATCGCTTTTTAGCATTTTAATTTTGTTGGCCAAAGTCAACGGATCCATGCCGGCGCCCAATAGCTCAATGCTTGCCCTGATCGCATCCTTATTGAGGCCGGCGTTGAGCAACTCGGCCATGCCAAAGATCACTTCAACCAGACTCTCAGCATCCTGAACACTGTCCCTGTCGCGTTCTTGATTGGACATGATGGAAATTTAGTTTCTTTTAATTTATGTATTGCACAGAAAAATAAAAAAATAAAAATAAATTGCTACTCATAGCACAGGCTACTTAGTCAAGTGGGGTTTGAAATGTTTCAATTGAGAAAGTTAACATAGATTCTTATATAAAGCAGAGGAATCAACAGTAAATCCTATAAAAATGTTTGAAATGTTTCAATTAAGAAAGTTAACATAGATTAGGAGAGGAACAGTAAAATCTATAAAAATTTCCTAACAAATTGTCTTTGTTTTTGGAAAATCTTCTAAGCTTTCTTAATGTAAATAAAAATATACATACATATATGTATATATACATTTGTAAATGCATTAAAATTGTTTTCAATCCAAAAATCATTTCATCTGTTCAACCTCTAGCGATCCACTTAGCTCTTATCTAGTTTGACTTAATTTCAAGTTTAAAGTTCATTAGCACAACTGTCGAGCCGACTAAACCACTTCATTATCAGTTACACACAGACACACATATACATATGTATATGGAGTATATACATAGCTGCTTCAGTCAAGCGGGAAGATAAATTAACAACAAATTAAACAAATTACTTGATGCTTAAATATGGAACTGCAGCACGCACAGCAAAGTGGGAACATACAAAAAGACAAACACAAACAGACAAAAATCACAGTAAGCGAGCAATTAAGAAGAAAGAAAAGAAATATATGAAGAAAGCGAAGTTTACATGCCCTTTAATGATAAACAAAAATATTTTATAAGTATGTATACTTTTTTATATTTTCTAATTTAATATTAAATGAATCCAATGTTGTTGAAAGTCAATTTATAATATTTTAAAAATATTTAAAAAATGCTATTTATATTTTTTTTCTTTTTTTTTTCCATGAATAAAAAACTTCAACAAACATTTCTAACCAATTTCAATAGAACATCTCAATATCAAGTGTCCCAAGCGGCTTGACTAAACGCATAAGCCCTCACGACACATTCTAGGGTACTCAAAGTGTTTGATAAGTAGATCTTCATACATTATGCCAAAGCTATTGCTTTTGTTGTTGTTCAACCTATTGTTTTTGTTTGCTTGTTAAGTAAAAGCATTTTTGGTGATCTATGGGATCTGTTTGCATATCAAGTAACTTAGTTGCATATATGTAGTTAAGAGAGTCTCTCACCTGTATGAGATACATTCTGTGGCAGTTGTTGTTGCTGTTGCTAGTTGGCTAGTTGTTGCTCGAGGCGTTATAAACACACACACACATATGTATATGCACACTCGCACAAGACACAAAAATCAGAGATGAATATAATTATGCAGCAGCCGTCTTAGGCATTTACGACTGCACTTGCCAGAGAGAGGGTTGGGCCTACGGACAGGTATCGCTGTATCTTTTCTTTTTTTTTTTTTTTTTTTGTAACTATCTGCAGCCGTGTATCTATAACAGCTTCTTTTATTATTATTCTTGTTGTTGTTGTTGTTGTTGTTGTTAATGCTTTGCTCTACTTGGAATGCAGCGCGCGTTTGTTTCTTTGCGACTGACAGTCTATTTGCTTTCGAGTTTAAGAGCAATTGTTTCAATTAAATGGAAATTTGTATTTTCCACTTTCTCACTTAATGAAAATAAATTGAACACAAATACATACATATATATGGATATATATATAAACAGAAATTAAAGTTTTAATGGCTTGGCAAATGTTTCAACGAAGCGATTTCCAGCGCGGTCGAAAATAAAAGTTCGTTAAGCAGGATTCACTGTATCTTATTGTACGATGTTATATAGTCAAGCTATATAAATGTAAATAGATGACAGTTTAAAAAGGTTTAATAGAACAAAATTAAATGTTCGTTTATCAATTGAAATTTTAATAAATTTATTTTTTTTTAGATTTTCATTTCCTTCTGTTGCATTACTTTTTGACCCGTTTCACTATGGCAATGTTCGGAATGCCTCGAAATGCCTATACAAGAAATTCTTTCATTCAATTCAAAATCGATCAAACAAACGTATTTCAAATGCGGGCTCAATGCAGCGCGAGTTGAGCAATTTATTAACTTTGGGTTCGAGCGCAGGCGCACAATTCACATCTTAATTTTGATTAGCTAGTATTTCTTATCAAATATCCAATAATTAGTGTCGAATTGTTTAGTTTTTGTTTGTTGTTTAGTGGCTAATTCGGTTTATTTTGTTATTTTTTAATTTTCTTTTTTACGTTGCAACACAACACAGGTGTTTCTTCTCGTAGAGTTGAGCGCGCACTGAACGTAACAGTTCTAACAAAAAGTTAACTATGCATGTTATGCTCGCAGTGGCGCTGTTAAACTCAAAATGGCACTGCTAGTGGAACGCATTCCACATACAACAACATTATGATGTTCGCAGGCTCACATATTTGTTGTTGTGCATGGAAATTTGTTCGTTTATGTTTGATGTTGGATGGTCGGAAACAGTCGAACATGTTGCACAGCAAGTTGTGGAATTTGTTAAAATTTTTAGGGGGCATTTCAGGAATTTTGGTTCATTTGATAAGTAATTTGTATTATGTGCAGGGGATTGGCTTAATGTGCATTAAATTAATGGAAAAGTGCGTGAGGAAACAGCAAGAAAAAGTAACTGATATAAGTTTTAGAAAAGCTCAAGAAATTCAAGGGGAAAATAATGTAAGCTAAAATCATTATTATTATTTTTTGTTAATTTAAAATTTTAAAAAATCAATAAATCTATTTATGCAACAATTTTGCATATAATCCGCCACATATTTTTTTTCTGCACAGCGGAATGTATTGGCAACAGGTAACAGGTTACTTATTTGGCCTACAGTTATTTAATATATACATACATATAAAAATCCATATTAATTAATGTTGGCCAAGCGACCGACAAAGTGCGTAACCACAATAAATTTTAAAGCAAAACAGGAAATTTTTGTTAACAGCATTTCATAATCTGGCATAAATTGCAAATATGACGAACGGACGCACATTCCGCTTGGCCGCAATGGGCGTGGCAAACAGCTGAGCTGCAGCTTACAAAAATGATCGAGCGAGATCGGCGGAGCTAACATTGACTGGCACCCTTTTTGGTGGCATGCCACACCCGAGCCGCAGCAGCCGCAATTAAGTGAAAATGAAACTTGCAACAACAGCGACGGCAACAACTCCGATGGCTGCGAATGTGTGGCAGCCGTGATAAATGTGGTTATAAAAACCTGCAATCAACAAGCCACAGCCAACAGCCAACAACCAGCGAGTCGCAAACGAAAGTGAAACAAAAGGCGCCGCCGACCAACAAACAACGAGCAAAACAACAAAAACTTGCAATTTCCATTTTAATACGCAACAACTTTCGGCTAGAGGCAGGCCGAAAGGAGTCACCTCATACAGCCGCAGTCCAAGTGCCGCGTTTGCGGCCAACATAGCTGAACGTGAAGTGGCCAACAGCAAAGCTCAATGAAATACCAAGACGCTGAATCGACTTGAGCTGAAACAACAACTCTGCACTGCAACAGGATTTACAATTCCCAACTGGGCATAGCTTAAGAAGACATTGATAAGATGAAAGACAAGTGTAAAAGGCAGAAAAGCGAAAACAAATGTTTCTTCACAGAGTTCTATAGAGCGAAAGTCTACATTTAACTCATTAGCAATGTAAGGCTCGACTAGTTATGATAAGGTTACTACAACGATATATGATAATGATATATATTAATTGGTTATAGAATAAGTAAAGTCCACAGCTTAATACTAGACTACAAATAATGCGATTGACAGACTCTTAAAACAACATAAAAAGCTAAATTCAGCAAGAGTGAAAAACAGCTTCAAAGAAATGCTGACAAAATACCCCATTATAGGTATTATATTGGTAGAAGAGGCTAAATTATAGAAATGTAAACTCCTTTTCCTCTGAAGTTGTCTGAAACTAGCCAAGTCCCTATCTCCATTCCCATCTCCAACTTGTACTCTAACTTAGCCAAACATTTAGCTATTTTTTAAAGAGGTTTTGACTCTTTCTCTTAGCTAAATATTTAGCTATTTTCTAAAGAGTCTCTTGACTCTTTTTCTCTAGAAAAGGGCTAAAATGCGCAACACAGACACGACAGACAACAGTCAACGACAACAAACGAGAAATCCTGTTTCTCTGCTCTTCTCCTCCTAGTTCGCGGCAGTTGGAGCAACTGCAGCGGGCGGCTTAGCTTTTTTTTTTGCTTTTTTTGCTGGGTATGTCATCAGCATAAATTTTCGTTCGCATTCATCATAATTTTCATGCATTTAATTTGTGTTATAAATTGTCTGCATCGTACAATAGGCGCAGGGCACACGATGGGCACAGACAGGGCGTCTTTAAATTAACTGAGATTCAGTTTTCATATACCCTATAGAGGCCAAATAGGCATTGCATCGTTGAGTGGGTCTGCATGTGCGAGAGAGAGAAAGAGAAACAGTTATATCCTGTGAAGTATAGATGTATTCCTCAACAGGATGTTGAGCTGAATCATGCTCAACTGTGATCTCGTTAGTCACAAAACTTGGAGAATTGAAATATGGAGTGTAATGAGACAATAGTCGGGCACTCTCTACAAAAGCAGATTTACTATGTATATTCGATTTATATAAATTTTAATTGTATATATTACATTTAACAAACAATTAAATTCTTCTCATATCTAGCTGTATTTACGTATATGAAAGTCAGAGTATGCATTAGTACCCGTC